CCCCCTCAAGTCATCCTAAGTGTATATGACTTTCTTCTTTCAGACGAATCCAGTCAGAGTTATATAAAAAAATTGTCTTTGATCTTTCAAGCTGTTTCATGGCACTCAGCGGGTGTTGCAGTGTTTCATTCCAAAATAAGTTAAATAAAAAGCACCCATCCATAAAAAAAAGAGCTTGCGCTCACTGTTGTACACGGAAGCAGTTCCGGGCAGATGATATATTTATACCACTTCATATAGTTATTAAATTTCACACGAAGCGTGCCGTTTTTCTCCAAAAATTACCATGATTACAAATGTGACATTGAATTCATGAAACAATAAGTTCATTAAGAGACCTATGTTTTAGACGCCATATTGCTTGTTTTTGCTCTAGTCTGAGTCTGAGCAACATGACGGTGTTTCGTTCTTGAATGAATCAGCCGTTTAAATGATTCGGTTCAATCGCAATGACTCACTTATTAACAGTGATTTGCTGCCACGGTTTTAATTTCAAATTTTGGCTTTTTCTTTTTTCTTTTTCATGTAAATTACCACGATTACAAATGTGACATTGAATACATCTAAATGCCACTTCAGATGCAGCTTCTGTGTTGATTTAAGTTGCTTGGTAACAAATGTCTTATTATTCTAATTCCCTGATTATATGTAAGAATTTGACTCAAAAGATAATGGACACTTTAAGAAAAAATGGCTTTATAAAGGTAAAAATGCCCATAAAATGCAAAAATCTGTTAAAACTTATTGGAAAAGATGAATTTCTATCAGTATGAACTGACCACCACACAGAATATTAAGAATATTAAAAACATTAGGAGTGAGCTGTCTTCGGCAGTCCTTAAGGTACCAGCACAATAACACACTCATCAAAATATCATCTAATTATCGTTATCGATAAAATCCCATAAAATATCGAGATATAATTTTTTGTCAATATCGCACATCCCTACTTCTAAGTGACCGTTGTTTTGTTTTGATCTCTCCCCTGCACTTCCGTGTGCGTCACTTCTGAGCGGTGCATGCGCAAAGCTGACCTCAGAGGTCATTCCCCCGGAACTGCTTCTGCTTACAACAGTGAGCGCAAGCTACATTAAAGTGATTATTACGTTTTGAATATGGATATTTTTCTTACAAAAACGCGTCGATTCGCTACAAAAGGCCTTTGTTCACCCCCCCAGAGCCGTGTGAGACACTTTTATTTTTTTATTTTATTTTTTTTTTTTAATGGATGGGCGCATTTTAATTAAGTGCTTTTGGACGGATGCATGTAACACCCGCTGAGTGGCATTAAACAGCTTGAAATATCAAAGACAATTTTTAATATAACTCCGACTGGATTCATCTGAAAGAAGGAAGTCATGTACACCTAGGATGACTTGAGGGTGAGTAATTTATGGGCTAATTTTCATTTTTGGGTGAATTAAGCCAGTATTCAGTGTCTCTGAATTAGTGTTATTTTTTTATAATTGAGATACAAATTTTTATCTGGGGTTTTTTTTTGTCTTTTTTTTTCAGTTTTAGTTGCCTTAGTAAATCAAGGTAAACTAAATGAAAATGAGAAATGTTGCCTTGGCAACTAGCTGAAATAAAATAATTACTATATATATATATATATATATATAATTTCAGTTAACATTGTGTGTGTTTTTATGGTTTTAGAATTAGTCAACTATTATAACCCTTCACTGAATTAAAAAATGTCCTATTATTATCATGTTATTTGTATATGTTATTTATTTTCTTTATTTGTTATTTTTTTGTTTAGTTTTTTTAACGAGCAGAAACTCTTCTTTTTAGCTCTTGGTATTACAGTGCCATCAAGTGTGAGTAAACAACATTACACACGAGCAGACATGCAGAAGCCTCAAGAAAACATAACATTTCCTCTCCAGGTGTTTGGTGTGAGGCAGTATCTGGAGGACGCGCTGCACTGTGGGGAGGTGATCTGGCAGAGGGGTTTGCTGAAGAAAGGCTACGGCCTCTGTCATGGAGCTGCTGGAAACGCATATGGCTTCCTGGCCCTGTACAAGATCACCCAGGATCCCAAACACCTCTACAGAGCCTGCATGGTGAGTCTAACCCCTCTCAACCTTACAATATATGTTGTGTTCTATAGAGGGTCTTTTATACACACAGTGGGTACGGAAAGTATTCAGACCCCCTTAAATTTTTCACTCTTTGTTATATTGCAGCCATTTGCTAAAATCATTTAAGTTAATTTTTTTCCTCATTAATGTACACACAGCACATACTTTTTGTCTTCTCATCTACAGTTTGCAGACTGGTGCATGAATTATGGAAAACATGGCTGCCGGACTCCAGATACACCGTTGTCACTGTTTGAAGGTAGAGTAAATGTTACACATGCATATGTACACCACCGTTTAAAAGTTTGGTGTCAGTCTTTTTTTTAATGTTCATGCAAGAAGCCTCTTAAGCTCACCAAGGCTGCATTTATTTGATCGAAAATACAGTAAAAACAGTAATATTGGGTAATATTCTTACAATTTTCAAGAACTGTTTTCTGTTTTTATATATATTATAAATGTAATTAATTCCTGTGATGGTGAAGCTGTCAGCATCATTACTCCAGTGCTAAGTGTCACATGATCATTCAGAAATCGTTCTAATTTGCTGATTTGCTGCTCAAGAAACACTATATTACTATACCTCCGTGTTTGTCATATTTTCTCATGCATGAAGGGATGGCAGGCACAATTTATTTCCTGGCTGACTTGCTGCAACCAACTAGAGCCAAGTTCCCTGCTTTTGAGGTGTAAAGGTAACTACACCTCTACTTTTGAATGTTTAACTGTCCAGACATTATTATGCAAATAAAACCCTTGTTAACGTCAAATTTCCTCGTTCCAGACTGTTCCAGACGACTGAGCCTTTACGCTTAAGCTTCCTCGAGCCAGAAGAACTCGTCCTCTAATGGTGGAATAGTACTGTCTCACTCTGCATGTGCGTCTGTATGCCGCTGATCTGTCACAATTCACACTAAGTCTTTTGAGAGGTGCTGTACATGTGGAGAACAGTATGTAGGAGATATTATTTTCCCATTAATGGAAAGTGGATGGGAATCTAGGCTAACTGTATAGATTAAGGGAAGCTGCTGTTACGTTACGTGTTTGTTTGTATCATTTTAATTAATATGACTCATTAAAGATAAACTATTTCAATGTATTTGTGAGGATATATTCTGACATGACAGCAAGGTAAATTTAACATCTTTTTGAATTAAGTAGAGTTAATTAATTACACAAGAACTACAGCTTTAAGGTAGCACTAAAAATACAGTGTTGATATGCTTTCTGTAAGAGTAATGCTTTGCCTTCTGTATTAGTAATGTATTTTTCCCTTTTTTCTCTCTTGATAATAATAGTAGTCATATCAGAGGATGTGCTGCCAAAATGATTTTTTTATTTTTTTTGGTAGTGGAACAATCTTTTAGCATTTTCATTTGTCTTTCATCATCATTTGTACATTTTCATTTGCACAACAATAAAAATAAGAAAAACAGGATGTTATATCTGATAGGTGGTCTGTTTACATTCTCTTATCACATTAATTAACAATGTCAAGTTTTCTGGAGGTGACTACCACACCTTTCTTCCTCTAGATGGAGCTATAAATCTCTGATTGAATATGATTTGGTACTTTGGGAAGTTGTGATCTATTCATTTAGCTATACTTTCTATAACTGCATGTGAGCCTTGTTTTATTTCAAACTGAGCAATGAAAGGAGGTCAGATCCACAGACCAAAATATAGACTAGCATAATTCGGTTCTCAATCTAGAGGTCCTTGTTTATTATGTATACATTATGACATAATGAATAATAAGAGTTAAGCTTTCAATTTTCTATATGAAGTAGTTTTGTTTTTAAGAAAAAAAAAATCTTATTTTTATTCAGCAAAGATTAGTTCAATCAAAATTAACAGTAAAAACATATTGTTTGTTACAGGGGGAAAAAAATTCATTTTAAAATAAATGCTGCTCTGTTCTATTAATCAAAACATTCTATTAGTAAAAAAAAAAATCCTTAATGTGTATTCCACAAAAATAAGCTGCGCACGGATCTCTTCTGATTTCTGAAGGATCGTGTGACTCTGAAAACTGGAGTAATGGCTGCTGAATATTTACCTTTGCTATCACAGGAATAAATACAATTTAAAAATAGAAAACGGTTCTTTTAAATTGCAATACTATTTCACATTAATCAATGTTTTAATGTATGTTTGATCAAAGAAATGCAGCCTTGGTGAGCTTAAGAGACATCTTTCAAAAGCAATTTACTGAGCCCAAACCTTTGAGAAGCTGCGTATGACAAGCAAAAACCCTTCAACACATTCAAAGAAAGTATTTCTAAGCCCCCATTTACTTTTATCAATTCTGTATCACTGACATCACAAAATAAAAAAGTCAAGGAGGAAATAAAACGCTGCTCACAAATGGGGCATCCCACTAGAGTGATGCAGAATTGCCTCATTTGTTTGTTTCAATTGATTAAAAGGATCGCTTTGCCAATTTTCAAGAATTGTTCAGCCTTAAAACATTGGTTTTAAACTTTGTATTTTCCATGTTGGACCTTCATGTCCAATCATCAGCTTTTGTGCATACAACTCGAGCTTAATAAATCAAAAAGAGTATATTTTAATTTTAATGTTAATTTCTCAATTACGTTTTCACTAAAATTGCTAAAAATGTGAAAATATATTGGAGTTAAAAATGCAACTTAGAAGCATTTTCACAAGTGCTCTCTGTCTTTTGGAACCCACTATATATTTCACATGTAAAGATGAGTGAGTTAAAGAGTCATTTACTCTCACTTGATACCCTCATGCAAATCCAAATAAGGCTCATACTTTCTCAAGGGCTGATGGACAATGCTTGGCCTTTACAACAGCTTTTTTTAAATGCTGGTCTCTTCGGTGTTGCTTCTAGCTGATCTGAGATCAGTCTCGCTGTATGTGGGGTGTTATTGCACTGGCAGTCCCAGAGATCTGAGGGACTGATCCCATGACAGAAGAGAGCAGTGTAACCTGAGCAGCTGCTTTATGATCTGGAGTTTGCTCACTCGGTTGGAATTGGGGGTGTAAAGGGCTAAGACTTGCCAACCACCCTTGAGGTGCTACTGACCTTCTCAGAGAAACTCTACACCTCCTAAAAGAACGGCTAAATATAGAGCTCTTGTGCCCAGGGACAAGGTCTTCAGCTCCATGGCTTCTGCAGCATTCAGATGGAAGAGTCAAGGTCTCAGGGCAGGACTGGAATGTCTCTGCGTTGGCTGCTAGTTTGTAGTAACACATGTACTTGACTGAAGGACAGATAATACAAAAAAAAAATCCTGCACTATTATGATATGGGCCAGATTGCAAAAATGATTGTGAGTGTTGTTCAAAATTTTAAGGTTATTAAGATTTATTCATTTATTTATTTCAATTAACACTTTTATTCAGGAACGGCACATTAAATTGATCAAAAGTGATGGTAAAGACTTTTATGTTGTTACAATGGGGAAGTCGTGGCCTAATGTTAGAGAGTCGGACCCGTAACCCATAGGTGGGGGGAGTGAAACAGCGCTCTCTCCCACCTTCAATACCACGACTGAGGTGCCCTTGAGCAAGGCACTGAACCCCCAACTGCTCCCCGGACGCCGCAGCAAAAAGGCGGCCCACTGCTCCGGGTGTGTGTTCACGGTGTGTGTGTGTGTTCACTGCTGTGTGTGTGCGCGCACTTTGGATGGGTTAAATGCAGAGCACTAATTCCAAGTATGGGTCACCATACATGTCACGTCACTTTCACTTTTCACTTTTCATTTTTCAAAAAGTTCTATTTCAAATTAATGCTGTTGTTTTGAAAGAAGTGTTATTTTTTCAAAGTATCCTAATAAACAAAAATCTCATGGTTTCCACAAAATATTGATAATTGATAATAAGAAATGTTTCTTGGGCAGCAAATGAGCGTGAATGATTTCTAAAGGATCATGTGACACTGAAGACTGGAGTAGTGATGCGGAAAATTCAGCTTTGCATTACATAAATAAATGACATTTTAAAATGTATTAAAATAGAAAACAGGTGTTTTAAATTCTAATAATATTTTACAATATTACTGATTAATTGTTGTATTTTGATTAAATAAATGCAGCCTTACAAGACTTCTTAAAAATAAATAAATTAATAAAAATCTTTGTATGTCCTTTTGAACATTATGCATGTTTTTGAACAAAATATTCCAACTTTTATTTTAATTCTACTCTTTTTTTCTGCTCTTTGCTCTTACCACTTTTTAAAAAGTGTTTTATTGTTAATGGTGTTTTCAAAAAGTTTGGGCCAAGGCAGCCTCATCAATTGCCTCATCAATGCCTTGTGTTGCATAAGATGGTGTGTGGATAATGATTCATTTATTTAGCTGTTCATTTATATAACTAAATGTAGTCCATGTACAGCCCAAATTATGCACAACACATCTTCTAAAACCATATGATCGCTCTGTAGTGTGTTATGTGTCTTCGGAGGAAACATTGCAGCATAAGCACAGCATATCACATGTGAAAGTATAGAATGAAATAAAGATGAGGATGAGGATGAGGATTAGCAAAAATGTTAAGGAGCTTGTCACAAGAAAGACTGTAATGCATGCACTGTGGTGCTACAATCCCGGCTGAAAAGTGTTGACAACATAACTCTAATGAAAAACACAGAGCAACACTGTAATGACTGATCTGCTAACTGCACTGGTTAGTTGTAGCTGTTTCACCAGGACATTTCCATAGTGAGTAGCACTATTTGTAATGTGTTATTTAACCCTCATGTTGTGTTCTGGTCACTTTGACCCAGAGAGGATTTTCTTTTCCTGAAAATGCTAGTTAATGTTATTTGTCACTGGCCTAAAAGTTACTGATTTGCCCACACAAGGTATAACAACTTTCCAAAAAAGAGTGAATTTTTGTACCTTTTGAGGATTTTCCCCACCTTTTTACACTTGTGGTGTTTCCAGTAAAAAATGATCGACTTACAAAAAAATCTCTCATTATTATTCTATATTATTGGATTCAATCTTTTTGTTAACTTGTTTCCTTTCAATTAGATAGGCCTCACTGATCTGAGCGCATGCACTTCATTAGTCTACAGCCGATCAGTTTCAAAAAGTAAAGAAAAAAATTGCATTTTATTAAGCCTTGTTTTAATAAAAACACTATTTTTAACATGGACAATGTCATATATTTTGAGAAAGAAATGCGGCCAAAATGCAAATGCATTCATGCTGTGAAAATAAGCTTTAAGGACTGTTTTCCCCAGCTTCCCATCTAGCCATAAGTGGCCGAGACTTCCATATGCAAGTTAAAAATATCAACATTTTAATCAAAAGCCTTCCTGAGATGTTGTGTCGGCATAACATGATTTACATTCAATCATCCCTGACTAAGGATAAAAAATATTCAGAAATTATGTAAATAAAGACACAATACATCAAATGAAAGTGCTGATCGAAGCCAAGGGGTCTTGGAGCAGCCTGGAGCATAGTCTAAAAATACAGCCGCGCAAGTACATTGGATAAAGCAGCAGCATTCCTTCCAGCTTGACCTAAGAAAGTTAAAGAAGTTCCACGGCATCGCAGGATCCGCCCAGTGACATCATTAGCATGGCATAAATAAGAAGGAGCTGCTCGTTGGCTCAGGACCACTTTCCTAGGACTTCTTGACTTCTGCCCCTCCGCTCCTGCACCCCAAAACTCCATCATGGTGTGTACTTGGATTACTCTTGCTAGTTTATTGTACCTTTTTCATGTTCGTCTGGCTCAAAAACTGACAATAAGCCCACTCAAATGAAGTAGGACACCTTTCTTCGGTTCTCAAATTAACTTTGGTGGGGCAAGACACAGCGGTGTCATATAAAGAACCCCAGTTTGTTTGTCACTGTTAAAGAGAAAATCATGCAGCTGGTTTGTTCCCCTGCTGGATATATGTGCACTTTCCAAGCTGTTGTTTTGCTCATGTCCAAAAAAGGGCTTATGTTACCTACTGTGTTTTAAAATAATTCCTTACATCAGACTATAGTGTGTGTTGTGAGATGTTGGCAGGTTTGCCAGTGGGATTGATCCATTGTTGTCTTTCTGGCAGGCTGGAGAATTCTCTGCTGACCAGATTGAGGGTGAGTCTTCGCACATCAGAGTTTATTATGATTTGGAAATGGTTGTATGACTATAGTACTTATTATTACCAATGTAATGTGGATGTTGGAAATGATCAGAAGGGAGGCTAGCCTCCCCTATGAGGGTTCTTTTCTCAACACTCCTCAGTGCTGGAAGTGAATACGATGGTGATTGGCTAATTTTTTTTACCAACGGAGGCACGAGAGCTCCGCGCTCCCCCGGTCTCCCCCTACCCTTCTCTATCATTAGCGGTTGTAATTACATCAGCAGATTCGGCACATTTGTGATAGAAAATCAGCGCTTTCACGTTATGGTATTACAACTGTGAAATTACAAACAAAAAATATACATTCTGAGACATGAACTGAAATTAATTGTGAATTTTATTAACATTAAATCGTCCTCCTCCCATTTTCACCTCATAATTATGGGGAGGCTGTGCCTCCCCTGCCTCCCCCAACGAGCCGCCACTGCTGTCAGCATTGTTGTATTTGACTTGGGTCAGTCGTAAAGCACCGTAACCATGTATGGCAAAGGCTACTTTCTCTGAGGGTATCGCCTGTCACGTCACGCATTAAGTGCCACCTTCGTGCACAGCTGCTGGAGAACAGAAGTCATAGGATGCTATTTTTCTGTCAGCAGATCACTTTCAACTTGGTCTCCCTCACGGCCCATGGAAATGCAGTTGCTACGCTCTTTTTAAATTGGCTTCCTTTCTCCTCTGCTGCATGTACAGTTGGCAAAGGAGAGATGTGGAAGAGGAGGCACTGCTAAGATACTAAGTTTCCTCGACTTTACCTAATTTTAAAGTAATGATGTCCCTAAACTGTTGTAAAATAATAAAATAAAAATAAAATTTGTAATTCATTTTTGTCTGGTGCTATATTGTGAGATAAATTGCTGTTTTATGCATTTCTATTTTGTACATTAGTTCAAATGATGACATTATGATCCACCCTTAAAATCTACTTCCAGATAACCTTCTGTTGTCCTTCTGTTACAGACTTCAAAGAAGCCTTTGGTCTCTTCGACAGAGTTGGTGACAGCAAGGTTGCCTACAACCAGGTTGCTGACATCATGCGTGCCCTGGGACAGAACCCCACCAACAAGGACGTGAAGAAAATCCTGGGTGACCCATCTGCTGATGGTAAGATATTTATTTTATATTAAAAAGGAACAGGCGTAATTCTAAATGCTTTACAAACCCTTACTGATTTGTGATGTATATGTGGAACTATATGCACACAGATATGGCCAACAAAAGACTTGACTTTGATGGTTTCCTGGCAATGCTGAAGACCGTTGACGCCATCCAGAAGGGTACCTATGATGACTACGTTGAGGGTCTGCGCGTCTTTGACAAAGAGGGCAACGGCACAGTGATGGGCGCTGAGCTGCGCATTGTGCTCTCAACATTGGGTGAGTGAAGATGAAATTATTATGTAGTTCACACCATGCATGGGAAAGTAAATTGCATAATATACTCTGCTTACAAAACAAATGATTATATCTTGGCACAGTGATCAAATGGTAATATCATAGTATTGTGATTTACTATTTTTTTTAAAGAAGTCACTTATGCTCAAAAAGGCTGCTTTTATCTAATTAAAAATACAATTTAAATGATGAAATATTTGTATATATTTAAATTTTTTATGTAATTATATTGATTCATTATGTATTTTAAAATGTAATTTATTGCTGTGATGTAAATCTGAAATATCAGCATTGTTACTCCAGTCTATAGCATCACATGATTCTTCAAAAATCATTCTAATATGCTGATTTCTTATTATTATCAGTGTTGAAAACAGTTGTGCTGCTTAATATTTTTGTGGAAACCATGATGCATTTTTCAGGATTGTTTGATTCAAGTTCAGTGAGTTCAAAAGAACAGCATTTATTTGAAAATCTTTTGTAACATTATCTGTCTATCTATGAAATGAATGTGTCCTTGCTAAATAAAATGATTGATTTCTTTAAAAAATAGTATGGCACTACCATGATACATGGCCAAAATATATTTGTAATTTATAAAATACATAATGCATTTATTTATTTATTTAAATAAATTATTGATTGATTATAGTTATGAATGATGAATATATGATTTTTATTAACAATACTGAATTATAACCATATTTATATATGATTATCACCATATTTATATAGATAGGTACTCTGGCATGACCATGGTGCATGTCCAAAATAGCATATAGTACTGCAGTACTTTTTATTAAGCAAAAAGTATTGGAAATAAATTATTCCTAACCAATACATTTCATGGCACCAACAGGTGAGAAGATGTCCGAGCCCGAGATCGAGTCTCTCATGCAGGGACAGGAGGATGAGAACGGCAGTGTCCACTATGAGGGTATGCTCCGATTGAACCCTTCTAGCTTCTTTTAGGACACATTGCATAACAGTGACTTATCGGCACTAATTAAAATGATATAATAAGCTCACCTGTCACTGAATCATCCCGTCCATTATTTTTAGCAGCCACCTCAGGCCTTGTATGGCGAGCCAGTAGGGATGATCATTCCTTATGCGTGTCTGCTTCTCCTCTTACAGCTTTTGTCAAGCACGTCCTGTCCTTATAAGAGGCTGTCCGCTGAGAGAGTGGGGAAGAAGGCTGAACTATATCTGCAGACCCCATGGTGTCAGGACATCCATTCTGTTTTGAAGACCAATCAATAAAAAGGACTATGGGATGTCACTTCTAAACCATTCAGTTTTTTCCCCTTTATTTGTTTTCTACCCTCTCGCCCACTTTTTTTTTTTGGAAGTTACATCATCCTTTCATGAAGTTGACCCTCCTCGCCTTCTTGTTCTGCCCTGGGCGGCCGTCCACAGTCGGATGGATACCGGGGAAGAAAGAAAAGGCCACTCATGAAGTGAGGGTTGGTTTCTTCTTTCTCCACCCATCCAGGGTTACAACAGCACCGCTAGCTGTGTGTTAAAGGCACGTGACATTGCTGTGGCCAGGCTGCCAGTTTCCCCATCCCAATTTTCACACAGTCATTTCACAATAAATGTTTTCCAAAAGTACACAGAGTTGTTCTTTTGTACACTAATGAATTTGGTCGTAACATGAAACACAAAAGTATCTGGTAAGATACTACATAAGAGACAACTATATGGGTGATGCAAGCTTAAAGGGGTCAAATGATGCTGCTAAAAAGAACATTATTTTGTGTATTTGGTGTAATGAAATGTGTTTATGCGGTTTAAAGTTTAAAAAACACATTAGTTTCCACATACTGTACATTATTGTTTCTCCTCTATGCCCCGCCTTTTTGAAATGCGTAGATTTTTACAAAGCTCATCGGTCTGAAAAAGCGAGATGTGCTGTGATTGGCCAGCTATCCTAATGGCGGCAGCGGCAACAATACTACTGCGAGAATAAAAGTTACGCCTTCTTTCTTTGCGTGAACATTTGGGTGGCTTTATGCAAATCTTCCCACATAGTGAGGTAGATATGTGGGGGCGTGTTCGAACGAGCCGTTTTAGGTAGGTGTGGTTAACTCTTATAAAGAATTTATAAAGAATATCTCTTTGGATTTGAGACTTTAGTCTTTGCAAATTTACAGATCTTCTTTATGCACCAAGAGCTTATAACACTCCAAAGAGAAAGGAAAAAATGAAATCGCATCATATGACCCCTTTAAAATCAGCTTACATCATTTGCAGGACAAAAGTCCAAAAATAAACATAAAATGCTGATACATGTGTATCTTTAAAATGATTGTGCTTACCTTATGTTGGAGGTCAAATATGCTGATAAGTTGTGTAAGGAAATGTACAGCAACACATTAATATTTTTTATAAATGAATACAGCTGGACATTAATATATAGAGAATCTGAGTTGCATATGCAGTTAATTTCAGCATTTATTAATGCATTATTAAAGTCAAAAGTTCATATTTAATACATGAACTAGCAAAAAGTTGTATTTGTGTTAACTAATGTTAAGAAAAATGAATAAATAATTACAAGAAACAAGAAAATAAACAAATGTTGCTCAGTGTGAGTTGATTTAGGTTAGTGCATAAACTGATGCTAATTAATGGGATCTCATTGTAAAGTGTAACCAAAATGTTGATTATTTAAATGGAATTTAATTATGTTCAAACTATGTGCAAACACTTTTCACCGAAACAATATGAAATACTGTATGCTCCATTTACAAAAAAAATTAATAACTTAATTAATCATTTAAAAATAAATACAAATAATAAATGGGGGAAAAATGAATAGGCCCATAATAAATAAATACAAACATGAAAAACATTGAGTAAAAATTATTTAAAAACATTGACATATTTCTTCCTTTGTTTTCAATGTTGTTTTCAATCTGTCTTTATTGTGTCAACATTTTATTAACCACTTAAAAATTAAAAAAGCAGGATAGATAGATAGATAGATAGATAGATAGATAGATAGATAGATAGATAGATAGATAGATAGATAGATAGATAGATAGATAGATAGATAGATAGATAGATTTTTTTTTTGCTTTCATCCAACCTATCGCCCATATTTCAGTTTTTTTAACCTAAAACCTTTACTTTGGGGGGTTGTGTCATCTAGCCAATGTAGACAAGTAGTGACAAGCCTAATTATTTAGGGTCGTTTACTCAGTCTGTACGCTAGATAGCGTTATTTCTCCTCCCGTCGAATGGTGTTCGTAAGCAGAAGAACAGGAAGAGATAGGTTGTTGTTTTTTTGCGCTGCTGCAGAGGTATTTTGTCCTATCCGGTAGCCGTACCCGCTGAAAACAGATTCTTACGATGGCGAGTGCGAAGTGCTGCAGCGAAGGCCCTTCTAAAGAAGGAGGTGAAATTGACAAAACTGTTTTTGTTTTACAGTTAATTTGCAATTGAAAGTCTTCGAGAATAACTGTAATGCTTGTATTTGTGAATGTAGGTTTAAAGTAAAGCTAGCCATACATTTGGACTTTCTAGCTAACTAAGTTTAGCAAGCTAGCTACGTTAGCCGGTAACGAGCTGTTTTTTTTTCTCAGTTCAGTGTTTTCTATGTAGATGCGTAATATTTAACACTAATGTTGGATTTAAAATAACAAGACTAAATGTATAGGTTTGTTGCATATTATAAGTTCAACAAACGTTTACTTGGTAAAGCTTTGATCTATAAACTAATATATAAACGTACCATAGCACCACTAATATACATATTAGTCATTTTTGGAAGTGCATTGGTGTACCATGCAAATAATATGGCACATGAATTAAGTACCAGGCTATATATCAAATTACCGTTTTAAATGCTATCATTGTGGTTTATTTGGAAATACCTACATTCCCTTACAATAATACTGTTAAAAGTACTATGGTATAGTGAATCTACCATGGTGTACCATGTAAATTAAATAGGTGTTATGGTGATAATTCAGAATCATGGTAAAGTACTATGGTATTACCATCTGATACCATGGTACTGCCATATTAATGTGTGTAATTATAGACAGTGGCTTTATTGATGTGTCAGTTAAGGGCTATTTAAAGACAGTTAGTGCTAATCAAATGAATCAAACTAATCAATTAGATTTTAAGCTCAACAGCGTCTCTCTGAGCAGGTCCTCCTGGCATCCCTCGTCTTTCAGGTAACTGTAGCTCACCTTTGGTCTCCAAGCCAACAGTCGCTCACCTTGGTAAGTTGTTTCGCCTCCAGCAGGACCGGAAGAGAAGGGAGACAGTGTGAAAACTAAGACTGTCTCTTCCAGCACGGCATCAGGAGACAGTCTGCGAAAGCGGTCTGCTGATGAGTTTGGTCTCGAAGATGAGTCTAAAAGCAAGCCAGCACCATCTAAAATATCTAAACTGGGGTTTAGCATGACTGCGAAGAAGCCTACACCAATCACTATCAAGCTGGGAGCAAGTGTATGTATTTTATTATATAGCCTATGTGTGTGTGTGTGTGTGTGTGTGTATATATTTAGATATATAGATACAATGTTATTTGGCTTATGTGTGTGTATATATATTTTTATACACTTGGTGTATATATACTACTGATCTCTTTTAAAATAACTAAAAATAATGCTTGTTTGAGAGTTTTTAATTTTGAACATTTAAAAATAGCATTTTATTGCTTCTCTTTTAGAAACCTAAAGAACCCACACCTGCCTTACCTGCCAAGAAAGCTGGACTTGCATCTGTTTTTAATGAGGATGATGATGTAAGTATCGTTCTCTAATTTATTAATTTAATATTAATGTTGTCCTTGTGATATTTACCATATTGTAGTAATATATAATTCAATATAAGTGTTGTCAAAAGGACTTACTTCGGTACCAGTCGGTACTGAAATTTTAAAAACGTTGATTTTAAGAATTGGCTTAACAGCGCTCAAATTTTAGCTGAAATGGATGTTTTTAAAATTTCAGTACAGACTGGTACTGAAGTCGGTACTTTTGACAAAACGACCCTATATGCTAAAAGATCAGGGCCCGTATTCAAAAAACATTTTATCTTACCACTAAGAGTTCTCCTAAATAGCAGTAAAAGTTTTTAGCTAAGAGTTTTCTCTTAAAACCTATTCACAAAGCTGCTGAGACAAACATTTACTAAGGAATAGAGAGAAGTCTGAAGCTAAGAGTAAGGCCGGGGTTGACCTCGTTGCTATGGATGATGTCAGTATGCTTACTAACTATGCACACAGTGATTGGCTGATAGTCTCTGTTAGAGATTTATTCATAGAAATATTTTAGAGTAAAGATAAAGGTTTAAAAATTAAAATGTTGCCACATTTAAATAAAGACTTTAAAATGCAGGTTAAGTGTCACTAATTAAGCAAGTATATGTTCAGGTAATTGTCAGCCTCTTACATGTATGCTTCTCATAATTAGTTAATATGCATATAAACAGCCTTTTAATAAACAGAGTAGAATAATCATGGCTGATAGTAAGACATGCAAACGTAAAAGAAAACCAAACTGGAGGCAAGAACAGCTGTTACTTCTTGCCCAACTGGTTAATGAAAACAAAGACATAATCAAAGGAAAATTTGGAGTTGGTATAACCTTTAAAACCGAAGGCAATACCTTTTATAAAAGCTCATTATCGTCAAATATTTCTAAAATGTTTATGCTCTGAGGCAGATTGCTGGCAACAGCCATTTTAGGAATAGTTTGGGGTTTGGTCTTACTTAGGAGTCCTCTTCCCTACTCCTAATGTTACACAGATTTAGGAGCTAATTTTAGAGCTAAAATGCTTTGTCAAATACTTTTAGAGCAAAAATTTAGGAGTACTAAATTTAGGACTGACACACCCATTATTTTAAAGATTTTCTCCTAAATCGGTGAGTTACAAGCTACTTTTAGCCTTACGATGTTTTGTGAATACGGGCCCAGTTTCCTAACCTTTTTTATTTTACATTTCAGAGTGAGCCTGAAGAAATGCCCCCCGAGGCAAAGATGAGAATGAAGAATATTGGCAGGTTGGATTTATACATTTTTAAAACTTTCAATGTTAGATTTCATTGTAAGTTAAAGTACTTTACAGCACTGTTTACTACATCTTCATGTGTTATTTTGATTTTCAGAGAAACACCCACATCTGCTGGACCCAATTCCTTTAACAAAGGAAAGCAGGGATTCTCAGACCATCAGAAACTTTGGGAGAGGAAGCTTAAAACCCAGGCAGATCAGTAGTGTCTGGCTGCTTTCTAGATTGCTTTTTGGCACCGAAATATTTGCCCTTTTTGTCTCTTTGTTTGATGAACAATGTACAAATGTATTTATGTAATGAATGTTTACGCTATAAAGCATCTTTTTATTATAGCTACTTTGATTTTTTTTTTTTAACCACATAGTTAAATAATGCCTTCCTGTGTAAGATGCAAACCACAACAGAGCAAATTAGAATACTCTTTCTCGCTGTACAATATGGTTTGTTCCACACCGACCTCTGTTATCAT